CTCTCTCTCTCTCTCTCTCTCTCTTCTATCTATCTCCCTTCTATCTATCTCTCTCCTATCTATCTATCTGTCTATCTGTCTGTCAGCTATCTATCTATCTATGTAATCATCATTCCAAAAACTTACTTACTCACTCACTCATTCACTCACTCGCTCACTCACTCGCTCACTCACTCACTCACTCACTCGCTCACTCACTCGCTCACTCACTTACTCACTCACTCACTCACTCACTCACTCACTCACTCACTCACTCACTCACTCACTCACTTATTTATCCCTTCGTCAAGATGACTGTTAGGGAATCAAGGACGATCTGACTACAACTTTACCCCCCGGGCAGTGCCACTGACTGTAGTGTCTTTAGGCCATTCCCAAAGGGGGGATATTTCTCGTTCAAGCACAGTAGAATTGCAAATGGGCTGACTCATGTCACGCTCATAACTGTGCCTGGTCTACAACAGGGAACTGCTTTTTTTCTTATCCTTTCTATTGTCATTTTCCTCTACTTCTGTTGTATGTTTGTCACTCTCTTGTGACCTGCTGTTTTTGGAGTGCCTTGATAGTCGAAGCAGACCTTGTGCTGTTAAAGCTAGAGAGGTGAGCAGTCTAAGTCTGATTCCCTGTAAAGACGTCTCTGATGACACTCACCCCTTGGCGCTCATATGATTTTATGCAGTTGCGAGCGCTGTAAAACCCTCTACCATAAAAAAATGACTACAACTTTTCTCCATCCTTCTCTATTTTCAGCCTTTCGAAGGACTTCACCAAACTTCAAACCTGTCCATCCCGCTATGCATGTTGTCTTGTCTTTCCATCTCTTTTTCTGTCTGCCTTTTCTTCTCCCTCTTTGTACAGTGCCCTGCAGGATCGTCTTTGCAAGTCCTGTAGATCTTGTTAGGTTCCCATACCATCTCGGTTTGCGGGGTTTTTCTCTCTATAGGTCCCAATAGTCTGATTCTGTTCCTCACTTACTAATTTGTAAGATGATCTCTGTAGGAGATGCCCAAAAGTCTTCGAAAACATGTCACTTCTTAAGCGTGTATATTTCTCTCTAACTCTGCTGTAAGGGTGGGTGGGTGAAGGAAGCCACTGGTAGCTCCTACTTCTTTACACACTCACACACAAACACACAAACACACAAACACACACACACACACACACACACACACACACACACACACATACACATTCCTTTTTCCCTCCCTCTTTCCCTCTTTCTCCTCAGCTCACCAGCTCTCGTGCTCTCCAGAAACGAGACAGGAAACCGTAATAATTCATGATTTTTCCCTCCAGCCTTAATGAGGTGTGACAATTCCTTCCGTCTGATTGACCATGTTCACCTTTACACTCTTACACATTGTGTTGTGTTGTTGTTGTTGTTGTTGTTGTTGTTGTTGTTGTTGTTGTTGTTGTTGTTG